GATAGGGATGAACGGGTTTAAGAGTTTTTAAGAGTTTAAGAGTTTTAAGAGTTTAAGAGTTTTTAAGAGTTTTAGTCAAATGTTTTATAATATAGTATAGATATATAAGTTATTATGTAACATTTTACATTTGTACAACCAATACAACTCAATTTCAATCGTTTATTTAATTTATTAAATATGTGAGTTGATAAAAGTTTTGATTGTTTTCTAATATAAAGTATTGATCATAATAAAATGAATCTTAGTCATTTTTCATATATATTTAAAACATAATAAATAAAATTTCATCATTTTCATAAATATCTCAATTGATTGAGTTGCATTGGTTATACAAATGTAATAGTTGTATTTGAAACGTTATACAAAATCATTTTTCATATATATATATTTAAATCATATATTATAATTAAATTAATTAAAAGCATAAATTATAATCCGATGAAATGATTTTGAATAAAATTATTTGGAGCCCCCTTTTTTAATTTATTTGCTAAGATTGCGTGTTTTTGTTGGTCAATGCCCCTTTCCTCCTCCTATCTTGTTTCACATGTGGGCGTTGGTTGTACGTAGTAGATACAAGTCAAACAGGGAGATCCCCAATTACCCAAAATCAAATCCAAACGTGATCCAGGGGCATTCTCGGTATTTTCACTATATCATTTTATAAATACGTCTTACAATAAAATTAACCATCATCTAAGATGATGTCTAGAAAAATAAGCATAATAAACGGATTTAAAAGAAAGAAATAATTATCTTCTTTTTACCATTAATAAAAATATATTTAAATTAAATGTTTAAAAAACAAAATAATAATTTATTAAATATTTTAATAAATGTAACTAAGGTCGTAATAATTGGTTTTTTATAAACTTTAACTTCTAATATTTTGTTTTAAAAAACTATAATATAGATGTTGATGCTTATCAAATTATCTCCAACAAAAGAGTTTTTAAAAATCATCATTGACAGATGATTTGTATAAGAATTTTACTTAACCATAATTTTTGGTTCTTACTTTAAACTTGGTTTAAAATGATATTTTATTAGTTTTATATATGTATATGTATATCTTTGACTTTTATATCTATATGAGTTTATATATATATATATATATATAGCTTGTATTATATATAAAAATCATAAATAAGTTTTTATAAAAACTATTATTATTAATTTATTTAGGTTGTTAATTTGATAAGTTAAAAAAAAAAACTGTTACAAATATTAATGTTTTGTGTTAAAATTAGTTGCGGGCGGCTCTTTTGTCTCCGGGTTTCAAGCATTTCCGGTGACGTGGCATAATGTTATTGGATAAAATGGTATGCAAAGAGGTACATAGAAAGACTGGAAAGTCCCGTGAAGTCGACGGCATGCACCCAAAACAATAATAATAATAACTATTATAGGGTTGATATTCATACACTCTGACGTCACTTTCTTAACCACCTTCTCTCATAAACTCACTCCCCTCACATACCCACCCTCTCTCACATTCAACGAAATTTTTTAAAATAATAATTTTAAATTTACACTTTATATCCCTATAATTAGTTAATTAATTTATTTTACGTCTTTTACTTTTAAATTTTTCATTTTACACCTTTATTAAATTAACATACATAATCGTATATTAATTAAAACATGTTTAAAAAATACAATTTTATTTTAACAAGTTACACAATTATAATCGTCTCGTTAATACCTTCGAAATGAGTCCAATATTAAATARTTTTTGACTTAATTATATTATTATATATTATATATACTGTGAAAAAAATACTTTTAATATTTATGATTTATACTTTTATAGTTCTTTATTTAATTTATGATACATCATTTATTTTTACATCATTATCACATTAAAATACATAATTTTATATTAACTAAAATTAGATCTAACAACTAAATTAACCTTGCAGAAAACATTTTCATACCCTTTATTGATCTTGTTCATCTTACATACTCATTTTTTAATATACTTGTTAATTTTTAAATTATACTTCATATTCTCTAGTTAACAAACGAACATAAACGAACACGAACACACCTGATTTCGAAACGAACGAACACGAACACAAAGATTTTCGTTCGTTTATTGTTTGTGTTCGTTCGTTTGTTCGGTTAAGTTTTTCATTTTATACCATATAATTAGTTAATTAATTTATTTTACGTTCTTTCCTTTTAAATTTTTCATTTTATACCCTGATTAAATTAACGTACATAATTGTATATCAATTAAAATATGTTTAAAAAATACGTTTTAATTTTAACAAGTTACACCATTATAATCGTCGCGTCAATACCTTCGAAATAAGTCCAATATTGAATATTTTTTGACTTAATTATAT